CCATCCATCCATCCATCCATCCATCCATCCATCCACTCATCCATCTATCCATCAGCTTTGGGGATGACAGAGTAAGGAAAACACCATATTTCTTTAACAGCTCGGCCTCTATGCACAATTACATGTGTCTATGTGTGTTGCTTTAGGGCTGGGAAATTCCCAGGGAATCCTAATTAGTCTGAAGAAGAGAAAGAATTACAAAAAGGAATTAACCAGTTACACACACAGATAGCAGGGGCTACTTCACACATCTCTCCAATGCTCCAAATGTAAAGTGACCAGAGAAACACAGAACCAGAGTGGTGACTTGGAACATCAAGTGGTTGCTGAGAGAAAAGCAAGTTTAGTACAAGCTGAGAGGGCTGGTAAGAAAGGAGAAGGAAGAATGGGGAAGGGAGCAGGGACAGGAGGAGAAAGGAGCCAGACCAACACGGGACACAAGCACCGAGGTGGAAGCAGAGGTACAGGCTGCTCTTGCCTCCAGACCTGCAGCGAAACGAAGAGGAATCCCGAGCCTAAAGAAATACTTGTTGAAGTTTGGTCTCTTAGAACAGCATTAGGAAACTTGCTTTTGGTAGGAAGAAAAAAATTCAGATTCTGGCATGATAACCTAATTACATTCAGATTCCTGTAGAGGAGAGGACCTCAAATCCTCTCTTCTGGAGGAGCCTATCCCATAAGAAGGGCCTCCTGCCCAAGTCTTGCTCTCCTCCCGTGTGTGCAAACCATTGTCTTAAGCAGAAATCAACATGCTCACCGCCAGGACATTTCCAGTCTTTGTTCTCTCGAGTACAATAGACTCAGGATGTCAACAGCTTCAAGTGGGAGTAATTACATACAACACTGACGTTTCTCAATGAAGCAAATGAGTGCTAACACTGAAATTGCTTTTTGCTTTCACCGTGTGACCACAAAGGTCTGGCCTTCCCTGGAGCTACACTCTAGGAAGGGAAGAGAACATTTCCAGTAAGTTTTCTGGACCTCTCACCTCAAATTTCTGCCTGAGCTCCACGTTGCCTTCTTCATCCCCTTCTGGAATGGGCACGTTGTAGTACTCACCTTCCTCCTGGTTAAGCAATTTGTACCTTTCAAAGACACCAGAGAGGGGGACGGGTAAGTGCAGGATCAGCAGCTCTTCCCCGCCCTCTGCTTGAGCTCTGGGGAAATGCCCACTATGGATGTCCACCTGGCACTGCAGACTGAAGCCACCTGCTCTTGGCATCTGTGACATGGTCTGCCCTGTCACAGGGCGGCACGGACAGGCCCTGCGGCTCCCTTACCATCCGCTGGCTGGCATCTTCATCAGCTCCGACACGCCGAAGGAAAGGGACCCCATGAAGTCATTCCGTGTTGTCCGGTCCCAGTCCCAGATCTCCACAGACAGTCGTCGGTCTTTGTCGGAAGGCTTTAATTTGCTGCAAAGGCACACGCGCACACTCATGAGGTTATCTGGAGCAGCTTCCTGGGTGACACCACAAGCTCACAGTCTGAGCCTGGAACAGGGGAGCAGCGCGTCCAGGCCTCCTGGGAGCCGGCAGTTTGCAAGCTGCTGGCCCTGTGCAACGACTGTCTAAGCTCCAGAGCAGGCCTCAGCGAGCTGGGGCCCGTGGGCTACATCCTGCCGCTTGGGATAATACAGTTTCAGCAGCACTTAGCCATGGCCACTGGTTCACATGCTGTCTGTGGCTGCTTTGTGTCAAGAGTGACATGAGGCAGCTGCAACTAAGGTACCTAAGCCTGGCCCTGTTCAGAGCCAAGCTCTCCGGCTTCTCTGCAGTAGGCAGCTCCTTTCTGGCTACCCACAGAGAGACTGCTTCCTGCGTTTGAGCCCACCTAGAGGACCACTTGTTTGTGCTCCCTGTCCTAACTTAGCCATTCTCTCAGTCCCTCCATCCTTCTCCTCCCACCATCTCTACTTCTGAAATCCTGGTAATTCTTCAAGGCCCACTTCAAATGTCACCTCTTCCAGGAAGTCCTCCCTGCTTGAAGGTGAGCATGTCATTCCCTTCAGTGGTAATACTATACTTTCTACCTTATTCACTTATTCTTTGTTGTAGAAATTATCAGGTTTCTGACCACAGCCTCCCATGGCCCTCCAAAGCACTTAAGCTCATCAAGAGGTGAGACATGCCTTCTAGGATTTACACTATCCACTGTACCTTACATAGATTTTTTTTTTTTTTTTAACAGAACAAGTAATGATAATAATTTGGGGCTTGCATCTGCAACTCCTGGTAAACCACATTACTGTCCAGTGACCAGAGGCGATGACAGGGGCCTACCTGACAGGAGTCTGAGCAGATATTAGGAATGAGGACACGTTCAGTCAGAGGCCTCTCTCACAGGTGCCTTGTTATCTCTAACAGTGAGGCTGGCCATGTTGGGTGTGCAGAGTGCAGCTAATGCAGAGAGAAGAAGGCACTTACAATGTGAAGGACTCATTCCACTGGGGGTTCAGGGTGGAACGGATGGTTTTGGTTTTCTGTTTGCTTTCATTCTTGGGATCAGGAATTAATTTCAGCTTCACATAAGGATCGGAAAGTCCATTTGGGTCCATAGGGATTAGATTTTTTGCATCTCGTACTGTGAAGAGAAAAAGAAGAAACTGTTACAAAAAGAGGACTTCTGTGATGTGCCTGGTGTCCTGTGTCAGTACCACGCTGGATGGAAGAGACCTGAAGATGATGCTGAAAGGGACAGGAGGGGAAATCCGAAAACCTCTAACAATCATCATGAGAAAGCTGCTTGCTGCCTTTGCTGGCAGCAACAGCGGGCACCAGGTGGCCCAGCCTTGAGGCTCGGTACCCGGCAACTTGGGCTGGCAGCACAGTGACACTCAGGAACATATCAGCTATGCAGAAAACTGGGATCCACTAAACCTGCAGGAGCAGAAGCTGAGCTTAACAAGATTTCTGATGACTGCCACAGGCTCCTCATCTGGTGGGCAGCCTGGCCTATCCTGTGGCACTGCTGTGCCCTCGGACTTCTAGTAGGTGTTGTGTCTTTCAAAACCCAGAGCTCCCAAGCCTGGATACAACTGGAAACCACTTGGGAGAGGAGTTAAAATTGCAATGCTTAGAATTAAATTACAATACCCAGAAGATGTGGGCCTGCTCTCTAAAAGCTTGATGGAGCCATTACAGTAGGAAGCTGTCAGAGTTGTTACCCAGGTGCAGGTCGGGGGACCACAGCATCAGCATCTGCTGGGAGGCCACTGATGGGCAGCCTGAGGCCTCGCTTCCAGAGTGCTCTCCCAGCTTCCTCACCTCCCAAGGCTCCCAGGGGACTATGGGCACATTCTATCCGGAGAAGCATCACATGGGAATAGAAACCTCTATTTGGAGAAGGAAAGGCCCTCCACCTGCAGAGAGAGGACTCCAGAGACAAAGCCGCCAGAGCCTTATGTCCATGGGGCGGCTGTCTAAAGCCACAGCACATTTATCATGATGAGAAGGGACAAAGGTCTGGGTTCCTATCCACGGTATCTTTCTTGCTATCTTCCAGTGGCATCTTTCCCAATCAGAGAAAGTTCTCATCCCAAAAGGGTTCCTAATCAGGCAGACATCACTGATACACATGTGACTGTCATTCTCACAGTGTGGTCCCTGGGTCAGCAGCACTGGCACCATCTAAGGAGTCCAGGACTCAGGGGTGGGATACAGAGTTCTGTTCATCACTTCTCCAGGCGATTCTGTGTAGGGACTTGTATACCATAGGGAGAAATGGTGGCAGCAATGAGGAAAATAAAGACAAAAAAAAAAAAAAAAAAAAAAAAAGACAAGACAAGAG